TAATAATGTATCTATCTGATTATGTATCTATCTAATAATGTATCTATCTGATTATGTATCTATCTAATAATGTATCTATCTGAATATCTATCTAATAATGTATGTATCTGGCTTCATTGGTTTGTTTCATGTTGTATTCTTCATGTTAAGAATTCAGTTTGCTTTTTGTTCTAACTTAGCATTCATTCAAGAATATATTAGACACTAACAAGAACAGACATTTTACAGACACATGAAAACAGACATTTGATGTTGTACAGAGACTCAGACAAAATACAGACAAAAAAACATCGAACAGACACAATAACTGGCAATAAAATATTTTAAAAACAGACAAGGCAGCAGAAACCAGATAAACAGACAAGGAACCAGGAACTAGATAAACAGACAAGGAACAAGGAACTAGATAAACAGACAAGGAACCAGGAACTAGATAAACAGACAAGGAACCAGGAACCAGATAAACAGACAAGGAACAAGGAACCAGATAAACAGACAAGGAACAAGGAACTAGATAAACAGTCAAGGAACCAGGAACTAGACAAACGGACAAGGTACCAGGAACTAGATAAACAGATAAGGAACCAGGAACTAGATAAACAGACAAGGAACAAGGAACTAGATAAACAGACAAGGAACCAGGAACTAGATAAACAGTCAAGGAATCAGGAATTAGATAAACAGACAAGGAACAAGGAACTAGATAAACAGACAAGGAACCAGGAACTAGACAAACAGACAAGGAACAAGGAACTAGATAAACAGTCAAGGAACCAGGAACTAGATAAACAGACAACAAGGAAACAGGAACTAGATAAACAGACAAGGAAACAGGAACTAGATAAACAGATAAGGCACCAGGAACTAGATAAACAGACATAGCACCTTGAACTAGATAAACAGACAAGGATCCAGGAACTAGACAAACATACAAGGAACCAGGAACTAGATAAACAGACAAGGAACCAGGAACCAGGAACTAGACCAACAGACAAGGAACCAAGAACCAGGAACTAGACAAACATACAAGGAACCAGGAACCAGACAACAGATCCCAATAACATGACGGATAAACTAGATATTATGTGTCTGCAGTTTTAATTGATGTTGGATGGATCCGATCTATTTATATTGATCTACTGTATATATGTTTCCTTAAAATCAGGGGTTCAAAAAAAAATCATTTTTTAAAATATGATCTCAGACTTTTTATTCGATCGAATCTCCACCCTTACTTAAAAAAATAGTGTAAAAATCTTAAAACAAGACTAAATGCTTGCTTCTGAAAAAAGAATATAAATTGTACAGTTTACAGTATATAAATTAACCTCCCCACCCTAGAAAAGCTTCATAAACGCCCCTGTCTATAAGTTTATATGGATGATGCGGTATGAAGAATACTGCACGATTTCTCACTCCCCCTCTATTATAAATTGATGGATTGATAGATCTATAATAATCTTTTCCTACAAATAATAACAACAATAATAATGATAAAAATACCTTACTTCAAAATAAATGCTGGATGGTTTTCAATAGATAACTTTTTCAAAATTATAAAAAGTTTTTTTTTAATTCTAACATTATTCACCCCAAACTAACCAGAGTGAGAAGCATTTGGTTTCTTCTACTTGAAATCAAACGTGTTTTGGTCTATAATTCAACAATCTTTAAACTTACGGATTTGTTTATTTTATACTTTCACTCAAAACGTATATACAGACAAAAAAGTATTTATGAAGAATGGTTAAAAAATTACGTTTAATGGGTCAAATTGTGATTGAAAGTCATATCTTTCTGAAATATTGACAGAACAGTTATATCCACGTGTAATAAAAGGAAATACTCTACCATTCATCGTTCATAAATATAGAAAAATGTATTTATGATTAATAATCTATTAAAATGTAATAATCTACAATATTTCATTTGAAAAATCATTAAAAGGGAAAGTTTAAATTTTAGTTCTTTAAATGACATTGCATGTAATATACTTGTTCGGAAAGTTTAGATTACGCTTTAATTAAAGTTTTGTAATTACTTGTACATTGAAGGTTTGTGATTATTGTTTAGTTTTGTGATTAATAATTAGTTAAAGTTTTGTGATTATTCTTTAGTAGAGGTTTTGTGATTATTGTTTAGTGAAGGTTTTGAGATAATTGTTTAGTGGAGGTTTTGTGATAATTGATAAGTGGAGTTTTTGTGATTATTGTTTAGTGAAGGTTTGTGAATATTGTTTAGTGGAGGTTTTGTGATTATTGTTTTGTTGAAGTTTTGCGATTATTGCTTCAGTTTAGTGGAGGTTATGTGATTATTGTTTGGTTGAAGTTTTGATATCATTATTAAGCTTAGATTCCGTGATTATTGTTTAGTTGAGGTTTTGTTTCTTTTGTGATTATTCATGTAAAGGTTTATGATTATTGTTTTGTGGAGGTTTTGTGATTTTTGTTTAGTGGAGGTTTAGTTATTATTGTTTAGTGGAGGTATTGTGATTATTGTTAAGTTGAGGTTTTGTGATTTTTGTTTAGTGGAGGTTTAATTATTATTGTTTAGTGGAGGTTTAATTATTATTGTTAAGTGAAGGTTTTGTGATTATTGTTAAACTTATTTATTTGAAGAACTTTGAGTTTAAAATATTAAATATCAATTGGACAAGGTTGCAAAACTAAAAGGATTAGAAAAGTAGAGTTTGTGTCAAGTAATCAATTCATGTTGATATGGGTAGAACAAAACAATCTCTCGGATTTCTTTTTACACCAATCAAATCCAAAATCAAAGTACGTTTTTAAAATATCAATTGAACCAGCCTGCAGTCCTAATAATATTAATATTGTGCCCAGTCCTAGTAATATTAAGAACGTTACCAGTCCTAATAATATTAATATTGTGAAGAACGTTACCAGTCCTAATAATATTAATATTGTGTCCAGTCCTAGTAATATTAAGAACATTACCTGTCCTAATAATATTAATATTGTGCCCATTCCTAGTAAAATTAAGAACGTTACCAGTCCTAATAATATTAATATTGTGCCCAGTCCTAGTAATATTAAGAACGTTACCAGTCCTAATAATAATAAGAATGTGACCAGTCCTAATAATATTAAGAACATGACCAGTCCTACTAATATTAAGAACGTGACCAGTCCTAATAATAATAAGAACGTGACCAGTCCTAATAATATTAAGAACGTGACCAGTCCTAATAATATTAAGAACGTAACCAGTCCTAATAATATTAAGAACGTGACCAGTCCTAATAATATTAAGAACTTGCCCAGTCCTAATAATATTAAGAACTTGCCCATCCTAATAATATTAAGAACTTGCCCAGTCCTAAACATATTAAGAAAGTGTCCAGTCATAATAATATTCAGAAAAGTGCCCAATTCAAATAATCTTACGAGTGTGTCCAGTCCTAGTAGTGTTAAGAACGCTCAAAGTCCTAATTATGTTATAAACGTGCCCAGTTCTAGTAATATTAAGAACGTGCCCAGTTCTAATAATATTAAGAACGTGCCCAGTTCTAATTATGTTAAGAACATGCCCAGTCCTTATAATATTAAGAACATGTCCTGTCCTAATTATATGAAGACCATGCCCAGACCTAATAGTATTACGAACATGTCCTGTCCTAATTATATTATGAACCTGTCTGTAGGCCTAACAACATTAAGAACATGTCCAAACCATAATAATAAAGAACGTTCTAGTCCTAATAATTTTAAGAACTTGCCCAGTCCTATATAAATAAAGAACATGCCCAGTTCTAATTAGAATGCCAGATGCTTAGATAAGAAAACATTCAAGACCTCAAATTAATTGAAATTGAAACTGTAAATCTTTATCAGATTTACTAACAAGAATGCTAATGTAGAGGAAAACTAATAATTAAATAATTAAATAATTAAACTAAAAGAAATGAACGATATATATACAATCAAGCTTATAATTATCTGAAGACATAATTTTAATGGACCCTACTTTTACAAAGATTGGCATGTCCGATTCACAACTAAAAGCTTTGTCCGATCAAGTTTAGATTAAATATCCAATTTAATAATTTTAAAACTGATTATTTTCAAATGTGGATTCTTTACAAAAGTTACTTACGCATACTGCTGCAGGAAAACCTTTCAGGATTTATTATATTAAACCCTTTTCAAGCTTGAAAAAAAGCTTAAGATTGATCAGATTTAGCATCAAAAATGATGCAAAATAATGCCTGTAAAACTTGATCATGCAGTGATATCTATGATTCCTAGGGGGGGGGGGTCCTAATGGGCGATGAGCCCCTCTAAGAAATGAAAAAATCTAAACCCCCCTCCCCCGGGAATATTACTAAATACGGCCACATGGTGTATAATTTACAGGGTGTCCTACGAAACATGACAGTGGCAAGACGGTCGTCTTTGATCTTGGAATATATTTGTGAAATTCAGTCGTCAACCTACTCTACTTTAATATGCATTAATTTTGAAGCAATGAACTCAAAATTTTCCTAATGTGGTCTGCTTTTTTGTGCTGTCAAAATTATAGAGATATTAAGAATTTAGTTCATATTTCATTAAATAAAACCAAAATTGTCGAAGTCTAAATGAAAATATTCATATCGCGGGTAATGTTGAAAGGCCAAAAGAAGGCAGACCTCATTTTGGAAATGCGCAGTGCTACAGTTTTTAAGGGCGGCTTCTGGTATTTTCCTTTAATTCCTACACCCGGCCCCATGAGCCACCAAAAATGGGCATTTTGTAATTAATATCACTAGAATTAATTGCTTCTAAAATTTGAAAAAAAAATGTAGCATATTTTTTGAAAATTACAGACGATTTTTAAGTCGTTTTGCCACTTTCACATTTTGTGGGATAACCTGAAATTATTGAAAATTTTTAATCTTAAAAAATCGGAATTGAAGAACTAGAAAGACGACATTTCAACATGTCGTGATCAGCTGATCGATTATCTTAGTTTGTCTGCTTGTTTACATTTTTATTCAATCACTAAACCTCTCACTGAAAAATCAGCTGTTTATATTCGGCGAAAAATGGCCGAGGGATGGGCGACGCCGGACAAAAATGACGAAAACTACCATCAGTTTATCGTCATTGGCGCTGGAATCGCTGGTTTATCGGCGGCCAGTCATCTTGCCAAAAATGGTTTTAAAGATTTTAAAGTTCTGGAGGCTAGAAATAGATTAGGAGGCCGTGTAGCAACAATGCAAATAGGTTAGTTTCATGATAAAAATTAATACAATTTTTGACAATTTGCCTACAGAAAAGTGCTCAATTCTTGATCATACACAAGTGCTCAATTCTTGATCATACACAAGTACTCAATTCTTGATCATACTCAAGTACACAATTCTTAATCATACACAAGTATTCAATTCTTGATCATACTCAAGTACTCAATTCTTGATTATACGCAAATGCTCAATTCTTGATCATACACAAGTGCTCAATTCTTGACCATACACAGGTGCTTAATTCTTGATCATGCACAAGTGCTTATATTCTTGATTATACACAAGTGCTTAAATTCTTGATCATACACAAGTGCTTAATTCTTGATCATGCACAAGTGCTTATATTCTTGATTATACACAAGTGCTTATATTCTTGATCATGCTCATGTGCGCAATTCTTGATCATACACAATTGCTCTATTCTTGATCATACACAAGTGCTTTAAGAATATCGATGTAAATCGAACAAATAATTCTTGATATGCAGGGTCATTTAAAATTACTTTTAAAGTTTCCTATATTTACTAGTGTACTGATATTGATTAGATGGAAGTAAGGTTGAGCTGGGAGCACACTGGATCCACGGAATTCTAGGGAATCCCTTGTATGAGCTGGCTGTTAGGCAAATATTTTACGCCAAACAGAATTGTCGAATTTTCGCTTATTTATATTAAGGGTCTGTCCTAGTATACGATTTTTGGACCCCCTTGTAAATTTAAAAAAAATGTTCTCTTTTGCAAGTTAGAAATATAAATGTTTTAAACTTTTCCCAAAAATTGACTGTATATCACTAATATATTTTTTAGAACATATCTTGGGTATTTTTAAGAAAAATCCAACCCCTTGTGTTCTTTGATCAGTGTGGTATGAACTATTTGTTAACCTGTAGTAACAATCTTGTGGACGTTATGCAGAGCAGTACACCACACAACGTGGTCGCCACTACAGAGGAGGGCAGAAGACTTCCGTTTCCGGTTCTACAAGAGATATATGAAGCCTACTTCTGGTTCTTTAAACGGTAGCACAAAGCTGAATATTTTTATGCGATTTTATCAATGGTGTAATTTTCATTTTGTCTTCTTTTGTTTCCCCCACTGCAGTGCTTAGGATCCGTATATACGTTGGATCCGCAACATTTTGGATTCCTGGATCCGGTTCAAAGGACAAAATATCAACTAAAAACTACAAAAAAATGTGCTGAAAAAAGAGAAATGTCCTTATTTCTAAATGATTTTTCTAGATTTTGCATAAAGATGAGAAACAAAAGAAAGAAAAGAATTCAAAATTTCATCTTCTAAAAAAATCAGGAAAGGTAAAGTGCATGAAAATTAAATGGATCGTAAGCACTGCCTCGCTGTATAATGATTTTGACTTAATCCCCCTCCCCCCACCCTCCCAGATTAATAGGTACAATTTGTTTTGCTTTAAATTTAAGAAATGTTATCTCTCACTTTGTTTAAGATTAACACTTTAAACTGCAATTAAATAATAAAAAGTAAAACTAAATAACATTTTATTCCGTATGATAACACAAGGCAGTTGATTTTTAAAAAAACGCACATTTTTTATATAAAAACCATTTTGATCATTCAATAAAGTTATTTTTCCGGGAATAAAAGGAAGGCAAAGAACTAAAACATTTTATTTCAAATTTTTCTTTCAATATTAATTTGCTCCTAAGTTTTCTAAGAAAGATTATATCAATTCAGAACATTTTTTTAAAGGAAAAAAAAATAAAATGAGATAACTAATTACTTTTTGGTTTAGATGTGAGGAGTATTTCCTGTGTAAATATCAACCTCCGGATGGGGTAAAGTAAGTAATTATTATTTATTAATATTGAACTACATTGTACCCATCTTCTGGTAATAATTTTAGCTTTTGCTGTGGATTTTTTTATTTTGATCAGTGTTGATTTCCAACTTTTTTAATCGATTTTTTAGCCTAAATTATTGAATTCATGAGAATTTCCTCAAAACAAAAAATTTAGCCCTTTTCTACGTTTTTTTCAAGATACAAATAAACAAACAAACTAACAGACCTAAAAACAGACAAGCTAAACATATGTAAAGACAAGGGAATAAAATCCAGGTCTACATATTTTTTTCAACTTTTCATTTTATTTCTTAATTGAGCCCACAATATGTTGATAAAATGTGCAAGGTTGAAAAAATTGCTTACTTGGTTACTTACTTACTTGGTTTGTGCACGCTAGGAGAGCCACATGCGTGGCCATGTAAAGGGGCTCACGGGCTTTAGTTAGCCACGAACAATTAAACAATGAAACGAAAGTTCAAGTTTAGGCTTTAATTTCCAGCTTGTTATGGAAGTATTTTTACTTTTAAAGGAAACCCTTGATGATATTTTTTTAGAACTGTTGGAGAACACGTGGAGCTAGAAATTAATATATATTTACAAAGGTTAGAAATATTTATGGCGGAAATTTTTGATTAATTGTTTTATGTTTAATGAAAATATTATATTTTATTATTATCTAATTTTACGAAAAAATTTTTATTGATTTTTTAATGATTAAGATCCATCTTTTCTGTATAAGTTAAGTGATTCAATCGAGTAGCAAATGAAGCGAATAATAGATTGATTGATAATGATGAATGGTTTTTTTCCCTTCAGTTTATTTTATTGATCAATTGATAGTTCTAAGATCGATTATATATATACAATTGAATTATTAATTTATGGATCGCTAAATTTCTCTTGCTCTGATTGATTGATTAATTGTTGATGTTCTGACTAATTGATAAAAAAGATTAACAAATTGATTGATTAATTGATTGATTGATTGATAAATAAATTGATGGTTTTATTATCTAGATACCCCCCTCAGCAACGATATCTAAGACGACTGATATTTGATTACTTAATGAAGAGAGAGAGTTGTATTACAGGTTCAATTTCTTTGCAGGGAATGAAAGGGTGAATGAATGGGAGGGAATGAAAGGGTGGATGAAAGGGAGAGAATGAAAGGGTGAATGAAAGGGTGAATGAAAGGGAGGGAATGAAAGGGTGGATGAAATGGAGGGAATGTAAGGGTGGATGAAAGGGAGGGAATGAAAGGGTGGATGAAAGGGAGGGAATGTAAGGGTGGATGAAAGGGAGGGAATGAAAGGGAGGGAATGAAAGGGTGGATGAAAGGGAGGGAATGTAAGGGTGGATGAAACAATCATTAACAATGAAATGCTTCTGTAAAGCTTTAAGCGAATTGTCAAGAGGGGCTCCCTATATGAAAATTAAAAATTTTCCATCCATTGATTACTTTAACGGAATGTAAGGGTGGATGAAAGGGAGGGAATGTAAGGGTGGATGAAAGGGAGGGAATGTAAGGGTGAATGAAAGGGAGGGAATGAAAGGGTGGATGAAAGGGGGGGGAGAGACAGGGGGAGCATTAAGACAAATGCTTAACGCTTGGGTTCAATATTAATCTTTTATATTTATTATCTGAAATTTGTAAACTTTGTAAACAATAGATAATAATATTCCTTATAATATATAAGCAAATCAACAATTATTTAATTAAAACCCTGAAAGTTACTCCCTGGTGTTCTTCTATGTTCCTCTCTAGGGGGGAGCATAGTTAAATTTAGGATAGAACATCATTTGTATGACGTGGTTTGCATGCATTTAGAATGTTTTCCCCAATAAATTCATGTACAATGTAAATGTACATCCCCCTTGGAACTAGCTCATGAATATTTACTTAAAGTTTGTCTAATTTATTTTACTACCAAAGAAAATTCCGAAATTGGTTCTTATTCTGCCACTTGGATCAGCATTCTTTTTTCAATCTTGATCTGGGAGTTAACATATTGCGGTACTCGGAACCTTCGGATCCTCAGCACTAAGTGTACTCAATTTCGAACAGTCGTCTCTGAAGTATCATCCTTTTTGCAAAACCCTGTAACACTGAAATAACTTATTGTGAACTGCAGGGTGTAATACTATACATAAGAGTGTAAACACTAAACTAATTATGTACTGCATGGTCTAGTACTGTACATACGGGTGTAAACACTAAACTAATTATGTACTGCAGGGTCTAGTACTGTAAAAAAGGGTGTTAACACTAAACTAATTAATTCTGTACTGTAGGGTGTGGAACTATGCATGAAATTGATCTGCTAAGCATTGGAAGCTATACAGAGCTTCCTGGTGGTAACATTGCTCTTCCTACAGGATACTCTAGTGTTCTAGCTCCTATACTCAAGGTACTATCTATATATTGTTCTACCTACAGAATACTCTAGTGTCCTAGCTCCTATACTTAAGGTACTATCTATATATTGTTCTACCTACAGGATACTCTAGTGTCCTAGCTCCTATACTCAAGGTACTATCTATGTATTGTTCTACTTACAGGATACTCTAGGTTTTGCATATGGTGGTTGGAATTAAAATAAAATAATTCATTGTTGTGTTTTCTTTATATTTTAAGAAGAAAAAATATTGTAGTAAAAATAAAATAAACGCTAAAATTATTACACTATGAAAGCTTACTAATGACGACTTGTAAGAGGGATATATTGTCGACCCCCCCCCCCCACCAAATAAAAAAAATTAAGCTCCTCACCATTTCGTGGTGCCCAGACTGCCGCTGTCGAAGCTACCACCTGGCGGGATGGATATGACAGAAAATTCAAACAAAAACAAGAATTAAAATTGAAAATAAAAATTTTAAAAATATTCAAATTTGCATTATTATTGGTCATCAATTTAAATTGATGTCGTAAATTTTGTTGACCAAGTTTATAAAAATAATATTTTGTATAGAATATACCTGCTGATAATATACTTAAACAACATCCCATCAAAACCATACACTGGCAGTAAGTAGACTTTCTTACATATTGTATTTTTATTTTTTATTTATTTAAAAATTAACTAGAATTTAAATGCATTTAATAAAATAATAGAGTAACCATTAAGTAAATTTTTTGGATTTGTTGGATCCACAACATTTTGACTGGACTAGACTGGATTCTGATCCGCAAAAATAAACCAATCCACAAAAATAAAAGGATCCACGGATCCGGATCCAAGGGGCAAGATAAATATCAACCAAAGCATGCCAAAGAAAAGTTTTCTCAAAGCACTTAATTGTTAAGTTAATAGGAAATTAATAAAAACTTCATAATCTATGAAAGAGGCAGCTTAAAAGAAGAGAAAAAAATATCTTTAAATTTCGAAGAAATCGTCAAAACTGGGATCCGGGACCATTTTTTTTCAGGGCGGATTCGCATCAAATTAAAATTAATTTGCTCGACCCTTTTGGTTTGAATACAGAAATATAATCATTCATTTAAAATTAGTTAGAAATAAAAATTTTACAGGAATATAAAAAAAATATTTTTCTCCAATTTTTTTTTTGCAATTTTTATAATCCTTTTGACATTTTGCTCAGGCATGTCGAATCCGAGACTGGATACGATTCAGATGGATCAGATTCATCAGTTAACACTGTCAAATCTGTGGGAGGTGACGGTAAGTTTAAAGGGACTGTTCGCGTATTTTTTACTTCAACCCTTCATTTAAAGAAGGGCTGTCAGATTCACTAAGATACCCTTCGTCTGAGCACGAAAAGATGAAGATATCCTTTTTAATTGATAGTTTTTTATTGTGTCATTAAAAAGAGGTAAAAATTTCAGTTTTTGTCCTATCCCCCCCCCCCATTCTCCCCCAAGCTTCAGGGTGTGGGTGTTATATCTAAATATACTGAAAATACTGGTTTATTTAGATGATGTTGGATTAGATACTGGACAAATAAATGGAATATCAGCTGTTTCACTGCCAGCTAGTTGCCGTACATCAAGGTATATTTCAGCTGTTTCACTGCCAGCTAGTTGCCGTACATCAAGGTATATTTCAGCTGTTTCACTGCCAGCTAGTTGCCGTACATCAAGGTATATTTCAGCTGTTTCACTGCCAGCTAGTTGCCGTACATCAAGGTATATTTCAGGTTTCAGGTTTTTAAAAAATAGGGAGGGGGGACCTTATTTTAGCTTTAGATTTTGGATACCTCTTAATTTATATGAAATCTAAAATTCGGTGACGGACCAAACCTCTGCAGAGTAAAAAAAAGTAGATGTTAGTTCCACATTTATTGAATAAAATCTTCAACAATCTTTTTATTTCGGCACTAGGAATTTTTAGGGGATTTATAACAGAATTTGGGAAAATAAATGATTTTAAATAAAAATAAAAAGTCCCATTTTTCATTAAATTTTCCCCTTAAATATTTAAAAATATGTGAAAAACAATTTTCATAAAAATATGTAACAACTTGAGTTAACACTTAACAGGACAATGGTGTCCTAGAAAACGAGGCACGTGATGTCCTGTAGACTATTTAAGAAAAACATCAGTGTTTGAATAATAAAGCAGGCAAAATAAGCAACAAAATAAGTTTTTTATGTCGAGTTTAAACTTAGGGTGAAATTCAATACTTTCGCCGGCCCAGGCAGCTTATTTATCTTTAAATGATTTTTCTACTTTGTTTAGACGAGGGAGTACTGAGAATTTATATAAACGAAAGGGTAAACCAAGGGTAAAGGTTGAATGTGAGAATGGAAGCATTTTTCTAGCGGATCACGTGATCTGCACTGTACCACTAGGTAAGACTAACATTATTAGGGTACAGTGAGTACAAAAATTAGTGGAACTCTCGTTGTTTTTTTTATTTTTAAAATGAAATGCCTCTTAATGATTTTGTAATTTGTAACTAAAATATTTCTTTCTGAAGTGCCTTGAAGAGTGAACATGTTCAGATATATCAGTTTTAACAGTTGCTACATATACCATAACAGTGCAATGCGATACCATAACAGTGCAATGCGATACAAAATCTGTACTTTATAACAAGAAAATTTATTCTAAATGACTGTTTAAATATAATATTGAATGTTAAGGTCTACTGTCCTCTAAAAGCCTGTTTGACCCCCCGCTACCAGAGAAAAGGGTCAGCTCAATGTCTAAACTTGTTTTCGGTGTGGTTAACAAGATCTTTCTAGCTTATGATGCTCCTTTCCTCAACCCAGATATATCAGAGGTACCTTACTACATACCTAAATACTTACCTACCCTACATACATACCTAAATACTTACCTACCATACATACATACATAAATACTTACCTACCCTGAATACATACCTCAATACTTACCTACCCTACATACATACCTAAATACCTACCTACCATACATACATACCTAAATACTTACCTACCCTACATACATACCTCAATACNACCTACCTACCTACCTACCTACCTACCTACCTACCTACCTACCTACCTACCTACCTACCTACCTACCTACCTACCTACCTACCTACCTACCTACCTACCTACCTACCTACCTACCTACCTACCTACCTACCTACCTACCTACCTACCTACCTACCTACCTACCTACCTACCTACCTACCTACCTACCTACCTACCTACCTACCTACCTACCTACCTACCTACCTACCTACCTACCTACCTACCTACCTACCTACCTACCTACCTACCTACCTACCTACCTACCTACCTACCTACCTACCTACCTACCTACCTACCTACCTACCTACATACCTAACTACCGACCTACCTACCTACCTACCTACCTACCTAACTACCTACCTACCTACCTACCTACCTACCTACCTACCTACCTAGCTAGCTACTTATCTACCTACCTACCTACCCACCTATCAACCAACCTAGGTGATAGTTCTATGGAACCGTATAAATGAGAAGGAAGTCCCAATGGCAGAACGCTGGTATAGAAAGATCTACTCATTTTGTAAAGGTAAAAATGTACTCCTGAACATGTAACAGAATCCTGGATTATGTTGAGCTTGAGCATATTGCATCATTTGAGAGAACCATTAAAGGAATTAAAATATGTTCATTTTCTATCTAAATATTTCTATTTCTTTAGTGGATTCTCTATAAAACAGGTTGGAGATTTTGCGGAGCAGAGACACTTAACATTAAAGGGGGGGGGGGGCACGAAACGTATTACTCTCCGGGAAATTTAAACAGTGTATAAACAGTGTATAGCATTGTCCTAGGAGGCTGATATTTTGCATGCGAGCTTAAAATTATGTATATTACATGCATTTTTTGGTTTTGAACGGATCTGAGCAAAAGTGCCGGCGCGCTCAAAAAATTCACCTCCAAAGGCTTAAATGTCAGCGCGCGCGCGCAATAAAAGAAAATCTCTTCGAATGCTTATTTGCTAGGTTTTGCTAGGTTATTATAAACTAGCACGAGATACATCAAACTTTACCAAAATTGGGACAAGGATTACATTTCCGAGGTCAAAATAGACATTGGAGCATTCTGACCGGCGCGCTAGTAGCCAACCATTACATTATGGGTCATCTTAGCATAGATTTTACATGCGGCCTGGGTAAAGAGTTTATTAATTGATTGGTTGATTGTTTAGTATCAGATACAGTGCTACTAGCCTGGATTTGCGGGGAGGAAGCTAAGTATATGGAAAACTTGAAGATGAATGTTGTAGCAGACGCCTGCACCTCCATACTTAGGTTAGTCTGGATTATTGCACCCCAAAATTCGGTAGGGAGTCTCTGAAAAAAAATAGCAGTCTCAATTGTTGATCATCTGCACGGACCAAAAATTGAGGTCACTGACTAATATGTTTTCATGCGATAATTACCCTTTTTTTCTGGGTTTATTAAGTAATATGCCAAAAACAATGGTGTCGGAGATAATTTGAAATAATTTTTTTTTGAGAAACCCTTTCAGGTGCAAAAGAGATCTGAACCTTCAATCGGTGTTTTGATATTCCCCCCNTTATTTTAGAAAAAATGAAATAAAACTTATATGAATCCCAAAAAGTAATCATAGAAAATATTGGATAAAAAGCATTGATTAAATTGTTATTTAAACTATCAATTTCTTGCAGGAAATTCCTTGCTGACCCTTACATACCGAGACCAAAGAGCTGTATTTTGTAAGTATTAAGATTTTAAATATTTTGGTTTATTTATCCTAAAATCCTATATTGATTTCGTATTTTTTGTCAATATGATATTTCATGCATATTTGTCTAAGAATTTACGAATTATTTGAATTTTTTCAGGGAAATACATAATGCGCATACAAATAAATCTTCATAAAAGTTGTTCATCCTTATAAAATGTGACTTATTTACGTAATAAAGTATAAAACTCATTGAAAAATTGTCAAGACGACATTTGAGAAATTCTTCCGATGTATTCGTTATTAAGGGTTTCACTGTAGTAGACTCAGTCAGAGTTTAAAGAATCGTCTAATCAACAAATTTGACATATTAATTAATTCAATTGATATGAAGTTGTTTTTCTGTAAAATTTTACATTAAGATTGAATGTGTAAAAGACGACCTTTATAAACGACTTATCTAATATCTTTGAAGACATCATGAATTAAAGATTATATTAACTATCAATTCCTTAGCATTACATTTTATCATAAAGATGCAAATTAACGAGGATCTGTCCTATGTAAACGAGTTTTTGCGCCCCCCCCCCCTCTGTGTATCAATTTTTATTTATATGACTAGTTCCTCTAATTTTCAATATATATTTATATTTATAGGTACAAACTTATTAAAACGATAGGATAGGACACGAAGCTGTCCTATCCTATTAGTATAGGATGTAATAGATATTTAGATTATCTTAATTCTTTGTTTCGATTTTTAAAAAATAGTTCTTCAATATTTTCTAAAGCATACAATAAAAGCATAAATACAAGGATTTCACAAAAACTACCGTGTCTTGTAAATTGCCGCTGATATTGTTTGATTTGTATATGAGACCCCTCTAAAATAATATAAAATTTGTCTATCTTTATACAAAACTGCAATAGTTCTTCACATTTTAAGGAATTTGTGACATTTAGAAAAACAAAAATCAAGACTTTAATCTCAAATAAAATGCACTTTTTAATTTAAATTGTTAATGTATCATTCTGAATTATTTCATCATGTTGAAAATTTTTGAAAAAAAAGGTTTTTGGTGGATATAAAAGCCAAATATTTGTTTATAGAATCGTTTTTTATTATTTCGAATTTAATTTCTTATTTATTTTTTTAAATGGTGTAAATAAAAATAAAAATTATATATTTAATGCAATGATAGATAATATTAGTTGTTAAAAAGTTTTTATGCAAATGAATGGCTCCAAACCTCATAATTCTTGGAGTTCATGGTTGTATCAGTTGTGATCTTTCTTAAGATTGATCTTTCTTAAGATCTTTCTGAAGATTGATAAGTTAAAAGGATTAGAAAAAATATAGATCAGAATTAGAGTTCTTTGCATTGTTATTATTTTGCAGTACGTCATGGGGAAGTCAGCCGTACACTGGAGGTTCCTACACTGCTATTGGTACAGGGGGTACACAGGCGGATATAGAAACCATTGCACAACCACTCTTCTCAAACAAAAAGAAACGAGTGGTAAGATTTATTTTTTATCTTTTTTATCTTTTTATTAAGTTAATTGTTTCAATGGTTTCTCTTATCTTTGTTTATTTTTTGAAACTGTCTTTTATGCGGGTTTTTAAATCAACGGGAAGTTGGGCCTCGGGGAGATTATTTGTTTACTGATAAAATTTTATAATAACTGGGGAATTTTATTTTGATAATTTTGGAGTTATTTTGAAATCTTTTCGAATATCATGAAAATAGAACTGATATTTGTTTAAGCCGGTTGTAGCCTTTGCTGGTGAGCATTGTCATCCTTCCTTCTACAGTACTGGACATGGAGCTTATCTAACTGGTAGATCAGCTGCTCAGCTTTGTATAAGGTAAACTATTAGGGTTCATCGAATTTTAGAATAATGAAAAACGCTTTTCATTATTCCTCCAACTGGATATTGTTAGCGATACAAATGTTTTTCGAATTTATTTTTAAGTTCGGAATCTGGGCATCATAAAACGGTTAAAAGGATTTTGATGTTTGACCGACCGGAGTGTATATTTTCTTAAGAAATCATTCATCCCCCCCTCGTAGAAAATTGTCCTCAAAGTAATATATAAAAAACATTAGGGGTTTTCCGCTCAATTGAGGATATTAAATGTTAAGAATGGAAAAACTTGCTTTTTGAAGTCCCTTTTCATATTTTTCCCCAATTCATCAAAAATTATTCCATCCCCCCCCTCCGGAAATTCTGAAGAATAAACAACCCTGTTTACAGGCCGATTTGAAGACCTTCGGGCTTTGATGGGTTTGGATTCATGGAATTAGTTGACAGTAGACATATAAAGACTATAAACATTCAAAGAATTATACCTAGCCAGTATTTTGTGTTTTAAAATTAAATGATTTTTCAAGTTTTTGATTAGTTATCCTTTTATATTATTATTTAATACCTCGAGAAAATTGTGTACTTTGTTCACGTCGATGATGTGGAAGATACTGTTGGTTTTGACAAGTGTGAAATTCTTACAATTTTTCTGTATTTTTTCTCGCAATATCATAGGGAAGAAACCTTAATTAAAAATAGTCAATTTTCAAAATGAAATAATGGTAATCTGATTTACTCTGAATCAGACCAAGCTTTTGATGGTTCCATTGTCAATCGGACATGCCACTCTAAATATCAACACTTGACGTTTATATGTATTGAACATTTTTTAGCTGAATATTGTTGAAAATTCCTCTAATTCTTTACAGTTAGAACCAACAAATATTCGTCTTTTTTCAAATAAAATGTTGCTGACAACCTAATCCAGGGGTATATAACTTAAAACCTCATCCCCCCCCCTCTTGAAATAATATTTTGCTGAATGTTTAAATAAATTATTTTAATTAAAGGAATTAAATTAATTTTTGGGTTCAAAGTATCAAAAATAGTATAAAAATCTTGCCAGTTAAAGTTCAATTAAAATGTTTTTTCCCCCCCCCACCCCTTCCTTAAGGTCCAGTGGGGAGTTTTTAAAAAAGTACCTCTGTTTTATCCACAGTTTTCTGATTCTCTCTGTATTAAAAATATGTTTGTGCAGGAGTGTGAAGGAAATAACACAGCAGGGAGAGATTAGCTATAATCTAACAGATGCCAGTGTTTCAGATCTGTCCAGTTGGTTACAAGAGGTAGGCAGTGCTACCCATACACTGGGGATTTAGGAAGACAACGTTTAGTCAGAAACCGCGAAGTTGTGTACTGTACTTGCATTTTACTTAAAGTTGATTTGCAAGCTTTTGTCTGATGTCGTCTTTCTGTTTCACAGTTTATATGTGAACCACCGTATAATGAATTAAATTGATTAAATCTGATACAGGGTGTTCCCATAAACATTGGAAAGAAGAGAAGAAAGTAAACTGCCATCAAAGACGATTGTAAAAAAAGACAACATTTAGTATCAGCATATCTTCTACAAATATTAGATAAAATAAATTTAGGGATTGTTTGTCTCTAGCTTTCCCTGCAGTCATTTTATTTGGTTGATTATTTCGAAGACAGTTTGACGATCTAAGAATTTTCTCTAATTTCTGATAAAAAATTAGGTTTTTTGTTGAGTTGTCAGTTTAAAAATTTAGATTTTATTTTATTCAATTTTCTAGATTTCTCCCGTCAGTTTTGTAAATACAAAATTGGAAGAATACATTTTGGAAATCCCGAAATTAAAATTTTCGAAACTGGTTCTTTTTAGTTGATTTCTGCAATAATTTGAAAGATTTCAAATATCATTTAAAAGTAGTCACTCAATTCCGATATCTATTTGTACACCCTGTATCCAAATAGTATAATTTCTCTCTATTAGGACACCCTGTATCCAACAAGTCAAATCTCTTTTTATTTATTTTGAATATTAGCCTCCAAATTGTTATTTTTTCTTGAACTGGGCGAAATCATCTAAAATTTTGTTCATATTCCCCTTAATAAATGCATAGCGAAAACAATTTGCAATTTGATGTAATTATTTAAATATTTAATCTGTTATTTTTTCTCATCCGTCAAATACGTGGGTTTGTTCTGTGAATTTTGGACACTTGAAACTACATTTTTATCATTTTTATTTTCGCGTATTGTTTTAATATGTTAAAAGATTGTTAAAAAAAACCACCGACAAGTTTAAGTAAACCTCCATTTAAAGAGTTAAGATGTCCGATTTACAATTCTCTTCATATTCTATAGAATTACCCTTTGAAATACTTTAAGGGTAATTTCTATAAATTGTGGACAGAAATTTTAAAAGATTTAAATTTTTTTTTCAAAACTTTAAAATTTTTTTTAGTTTACGTTATGAAAATTACAAAAGTCTATTTTCTAGGTAAGCTGCGGGGAGAAAAACCTAGAAGACTACAGAGCAAAGACGAGTGGATCAAGACCAAGACGAGACGATGGTCAGTTCGTCACGCCAAGATAAAGACCAAAGACTACAGTGAGAACCAGAAAACGTTCCAACATTTGTCGTCTTCAATGTCGGTGTAAGGATTTAGTAATTTGCAACTGAACTACTATTTAAAAAATGCAATGCACATTTTTAGAGTTGTGTCAGTTACAACAATTGCAAATTACACAATTTCTGGTTCGCATTGAACTTTGAATTAAATAACATATAATTGTGACAGAAACATGGTTTGTAGAGTTTAGAAATTAGTTAAATTTGGCCTGATTAGTAATCATATCGGGTTGTTTACTGGTAAAACAGTACTTGAGGTCAGAAAATGCTTGCCATATATTTTAAGTTGAACTAGTCAAAATAAAAAGACTGCTTTTAATGCACAACTATATAAATCACTTAAAATGTTCCGTGTTTTCTCAAATGTACAGATTAAAAAAAATAACGTAATATTATAATCATTCATGACTTTTTAAATCTAGTCTTGAGCTAAATCCAGATTTTTTTGTAAAATTTTTATTTTGATGCTATTTTGTAAATTTAGTATGAATTGTTTAATGGCAGTTACCATGGAATAAATGAAATATGTTCAAAAATATTAAAAGTCTTTTGATTTAGAAATCCTTAAAATTTCAATTCTTTAAAGGACTGTATGTACATGTACAAGTGTAATTTAATCCTAAAAGGGACTGTAAGTGTAATTTCAAGTGACCCTCCATGCAAGATGGCAATGCATGATTTACAACTGTTCCCTGGCATTATTTCTTAATTATAAAACAGTTTACAAGTGTTTCAGTTCAGTAGATTAATGATGCAAAGTCTGATCTCCTGGATCAGTCGAACTAAAGGGGCTGGGTACTCGGTCACTCCAATCTACAAAGAACCCTTTTTAATTGAACATTATTTTTTTTAAATATTCAAGAAAATAATTCTTATGATTTTAATTTTTATTGTATCAATTATCAATATTATGTCTGGCTAACTATGAAATCTTCAAGATAGTAAGTATGTCTATGGAACGATTTGAAAGCTACTTTGTTTGTATCTAATTATCGTCAAAGCGGCTGAACCCAAATGTTTTACTGATGTTTTTTTAACAATTTATTATTTTTGAATTTTTAATCTTATAAATTGGATACAGTTGATCCAGACAAATTCTGATTTGATTTTTCTTCTTGTCATCGTTTCTCTCCTTCATTTTTTCTTTTCCTTCTGTTGACTGTCCCTGATTCTAATAATTTTGAAAGAAAATATAAATTTCTCGAAACCAGAATTTATTGGGACACTGCTCCATATTGTATTAGTTTTCAGTTTTGTTTCTAACTATAGAATGCCTGACTTGACAAGCTGATTGAAGGTTAATACAGTGCTTACTAAGCTTCAACTCATACTTTTTTAAATGGAGGGGGGGGGGGTCTCCCTGCCCTATCCTCCTATCTCCCATGATTTCTCCATTCGCCAACGGGAAAATTGATAATTGATGGTGTAAAGCTTATCATGGAAAATTGATAATTGATGGTGTAAAGCTTATCATGGAGCTCCCTACCATTTGTCATGTTCAATTCTCTTTTTTTTCTTGTTTCTTGTTTGTAGGTGTCTGCAATTTTATTTTGAGTTGCATGTCTAAATCCTGATTACGCCTAGTGGTGTTAAAAATGTAGCCGACAACATTTGTCCACTAAGAATTCAATTCCAAATGCTGTTTGTGGCTAATAGGTAGGGTTGAGATGTAGGAGTATGGAGGTTTGGATTGGTCAGGAAGGGAGGGTATCGAGGGACTCCCATAGCATAGAAAATCCCTACTTTCCTCCGATTTTAGTGTTTCCAACTAAACGGAATTTAAGGTTTTTTCCCATTAGAGTTGCACCTCATTACAAAATGGGGAGTTGTTGGCTTTGTTGCTCCAAGATGTTGTATTTTCGACAGTAGTCCAGTCGTCCTATTCGGCCTAGTATCGCAGCCAGTAGAGTTTTGAAAAAAGGCATCTTAGTACATTGTTTCCCACCTCTCAGGATTCTTCTTTATAGGTTTCTATTTTTTCTTGAGTCAAGCGAGCTATTTTCTTTCTTTGTTTTTGAGGTGTGGTGACGTCATGTTGAATTTGCACAGCGCTCCCTGTCCGAATATAGGCCAGGCTACTGCTTTTTATGTCCTAACCTTCCCAGTACTAGCTGACAACTGTTTTACTGATGGTTAAAGATGAAAAATATTACCTTGTGGGGGAAAAAAATGTCGACATTCATTATTTTTGAAAATTTAAACAGAATAAATCCACGAATTACGTTTTACATAGAAAAATGCCAATTTAAAGAGGAGCAGTTAGCAGGCTAGATTTATCATAAGCGAGGAAATAAAGTGAAAAATCTAAAAACAGATGTTTTAATTTGGCGAGTTGACACTGTTAGCCTAAGTTGACAGGCCCGTCTATATTTTCAAGTAGGTATACTAACCATACAATCATACTAGACTAGAGGTTATACTTTTGAAAGATCTTACACAAATATTCATTCTCATACTAAAACTAAAACTAAAAGAAAATATCCAGAATCTATCATCATTGAATTTGGGGAAGTTACGTTTAAGTAACTAAAATATTTCAAGTTTTTTTAATCTTGTAACTTTGTTGTTTACAAAAGTTATTTATTCAAAGGTTTATTTTTTTAATATTTTTTTTGAGTTCAATAAATATCCAAAAGTTTAACTTTCCCCACTTTTTAAACTATTCTAACCTAAAATATGTTACTCTCTCAAATTTTTTCTTTCTAGTTAATTTATTTTATTCTTCTCTTTTAACTTTTTTTAAAGATTTTTTAATTTGGAATTTTCGAGTCAGTAGTCGTAATTTTGATTAGAACCCCGCTTTAAGATTTGAATGAGAACTTTTTGAAAAAGAATGAAAAGTGTTAAAAGATAAGTTCAATACAAAGATTAAATTAAATATCAGAAAAAAATTGTTTCAAATATATGAAAATTGTTGTCCATGCAAAACAAAACTAAATATTTGAAATTATTTTTTATAAGACAGAAAGTTAGAACTAGTATAAGAACGTAATTTTACATATTTCTGATTTTAAACCTTATGCAGCCTTTTGAGTCTTGACTTAGACCCTTGAGGTTAAACATTTTTTTATTTAAAAAAAATTCTTCGTTGAAATGAAGTTTTTGTCAGATTTTGAATGTAAATCTAATAATGTTAACAATTCTTTCTTTATTCTTAAACTTTTAACATTTTGTAGAGTTTGTACATTTTGTTAGGTTAATAGATGACTTTGTCAGTTGCATGGACCGAATGGGACATTCTACTCATAAATCTCCCAATATATATATATATATATATATATATATATATATATGCAACAGTTGCATATTTTGTAGACCTAAAAACAGCCTGTACAACACGCATTACATTAAGCTTCATTAATTTCAACTTGAAGTAGATTATTCGCCGGAAATTCCGTTTCCGCCGGAATTTCTTTTTTTTTTTGCGGCGAAAACTTTTCACTTTGAGTAAACTATTTTTATCAATGATCCATGGATGACAAAGGAATTGAGTCTTTGTCGTCTTAGTCACAATCTCTGATTTTCTAATCCCAAAATCTTAACAATCCAAAGTCGCAGACCTTAGATATTTTAAACTATGAAATTTGTTGAATTAAATTATTTAAGTTTGAAATATCGAAAGTTAACTCCATCAGGTTAAAAAGTATAGGGATTAGAAAATTGGAATTTGTGACAAAAACTCAATTCCTTTATCGTTTAATCAACAATATATTATTTCTTTTGATATCAAGTCTGTACCTTAGAATGGCCATAGCTTGTAAGGGCTAAAACATGCAGTTAAATTTACAATTTGAGTTTATCATTTTTTACGTAAGAGTCTTTATACTATGACAATGATTTTAAAACTTTTCCAAAAGCAAATAATTTGATGATTTATACAACTGTTGACATTTTTTACATACTGAATTCAGCTAAACAATGAATTTAAAAAAAAACTAAATATAACTTAAAATTTCCGGCTTCCGTCGGAAAGTTCCTTGATGGAAAATTTCCGGAACTCCGTTTTCCGGTAATCAAAATTTCCCCTGGAAAAAAATATCTGGCGGAAAATAAAAACACTCTAACTTAAAGGACATGTTGACGTATTTTTGAAAAATTTACCAATTTCATTATAACATGAACAATTGGTGTCCCAATAAACATGAGAATTAAATGACGACATCTATATTATCTTTGTTCCAAGCATGATTATTTCGTAAATTATTTCGTAGTATCACAGTTAAAACATTTAACACCGATATCTAGCAGTCTCGGGATTGCGAAAATGTGGTCTACCATTTTTTTTATGTATTTACAACATAGCTGAGACTATGTTGTGAATAATGCATTCAAAACATAGCTGAGATTATGTTGCGAATAACATTTAGAAACAAAAATTCTTCCCTGAATTCAAAGGAAATGAATCATTCAAATTGTCACAACAAAAAAATATTTAAATCTCAAAAAGGTTAATTGTTAAAGAAAAAAAATTTCTTTCATTTTAACTTTAAATGTCAAATCTCCCTTTTTTCTTAATTTTTATGCATGTGTGACACTTTAAATATTCTGAACCGGTGCTGCTTGGTATATTTCAGTTTTTAACTGAATTAAACTCTGAATAACCATCAGCTTCCTGGAGTATGACGAGAGAGGGAAGTTGTTTATTTTGTCAATAATTAAGACAGAAACATCCATTAGAAAAGATAATAAGATGGAGCAAAATAGCGAATTCTATTTGTATGATGATTTTTACCGCCATATTCGTAATTTATTGAAGGGTTACCTACAAAAATGAGACCTTAGAGAGGACATTTATGTAATTTTGTTTTCGTTCTTTTTCAGGCATTTTTTGCAGCTGCTTTTATGCAATTTTTTCTTTGACAAATTATCTAATATGCCATTAGGAGTATATGTTTAACACGGAAAAGGAATTTTAATATTCAGATTGAATTCAAATTGTTTTCGGTGGTCATTAAAATCTCATCCTTTGAGAGATATACAACAGGGTCACCAACAAAGGATGAGGCTTGTATGACAAGTTGACAAAGTAAAACTCTAAAATAATCTGTAGACTGAAATTTGTTTTCTGACTTTCAAATATATATTTTTTAATTAATTAAACGTTTTGGCAACGAAAGATAAAATTTCACAGTTGCAATGAATCAAGACCGTCTAAAACGTCTAAATAAATTCTGCATGAATTATTTCTGAAGCCTTTGTGTTTTGCAACCTTCGTTTTGATCAAAAAAATAGGTCACACTCAAAATTGCACATACGCCATATCCCCGATCTTTGGTGTACATATTATGAGGTTAACCGCAAAGGATGAGATTTCAGAGAAGGGTGTACAGATTTTGTTGGCCCTTTTTTACATTATGGTTCATTGCATGTGAATTTTTCCTTTGTCCATTATCACCATTGAGGTGCAGTTAGGGATGGATCGTTTCCACTTTTTTGAAAAACGATCGTTTTGTTCTGAAAATGACAAAGAAAAATGAAATTGAAAATATCGTTTTTAAAAACAATTGTTTAAAAAAATA